AGAAATAATTCCATTTCGCAAATAGCTTTCTCACTGCTAACCAAAATTCCCCAGCCTGGACAGCATGAATATCTTGGTAATGTGATACCTTAACCCACAGAAATTCCCACCTAGAGAAGGATCCATCTTTTCCCATGTGCCATGAGAAACTGCTAGTCGGGATCTCCTTTGGAGATGGATGGATCAGGGTTTAGAAAGCCTGATCCGTCCCTGCTACCTTCCTGCAGCACTGGGAGGTACTGTGAGGGCTTAAGGGTTTGAGAGATGCTGTGTGAAACGAGTCCCTACAGAGTCAGTGCAGTGATCGGTATCAGCTAGCAAGGTAACAGAGCTGGGCTCAGCATTTTTACTCTGGCTGTTTAAAGGAAAATCTTTATTTCCTTGAGTTTCCATGCAAAGGTAATTGTTTATGGTGCTTCCATTGACTTCCACGTGACCTCTGGAGCAGCACTCCTGCAGATTAACTGGATCAATGCCATGCATGGTGTCTGCCTGTTGATCTGCACGGGAGGAGGGATGTGCCGCTGCCCGGACGGGCTCCCGCTCTGCCCCGTGCCCGGTGCCCACCGCTCCGGCCGGCTGCAGGGAAAACACCTTCCACACGGAGGCAGAGCCCCGGTGCCACGGGCCGGAGCCACCAGCCTCGGCTGCTGATGTGGCGGACGAGCAGCCGAACTGCGAACACTCGCATTCGCCTTCCCAGAGCTGAACGGCTTCCTTCTGCCAGGACTGTTCCCGAAGCGCAACAGAGCCCGCACAACGGTGAAGGATTAATTCAAGCCTCGCTTACAACAGCAACCCCCCTCGCTCGGATCCCCGCTGCAGCTGGAGCCTTTGTGCTCCAGCGAGTTGCCGTGAGGTTATAAAACCCTAAGTAGCTGCCATGGCACAGGCCCGAGAGTGGAAAATACTCTGTCCCTATATCTAGCAACGCATCCTGGAAACCATCAGGTGAGAACAAAAGAAAAATACAGCAGAGGGCAGAGGACAGGAACTTGGCAAGGGCTGGTTTGCAAACAGCCTTGGTAATGCAGAGCTTTTCACTTCTTTCCCATCAGATATTATAGCAGGTTACAGATGGAGGCAAATGGGCTTGGTTTTATTTGACAGTGTTAATGGAAAAAGCTGAGAAGCTTCCAGGGACACTGGACATTCGCTGAGCTGCCTCTTCTGCCTGTTCCCATTCCTATTAGCTAGCGAACAGCAAAGGAAAATCTGGCTTTAACAAATTATTTTCCGTCATACCCTGATACCTCTATTCTTTCATTCATTCCTTACAAATGAAGAAAAGCATGCCGATATTTAAACCTGCACTGTGAGTTTGGTGGTGCACACACCACACATCTTCCCTCTTGCCTCCTTTCTGCTTCTCCTTTTCTTTAGTCTAGCTGGGTGACACCCTGCCATGGCAGCACAGCTCTCTGCAACGTCACCTCTCCGTGTTGCACTATAAGTTTTACAATGAAGTATTTTAAGCACCTCTTAGCTGTCATGCCAGTGAGAACTGAGGTGCTCAGGATGCTCAGGATGAAAGATCTCAAATGCTCAAGATGAAAGATACTATGGAAGTGCAAAGTACTGCAGAAAGGCACGTAGGGATGTACTCTGAACCGCTGAAGCACTGTCCTGTGGGTTCATTGCACCTGGGGTGCCACGATCGTGACACAAAGGACACAAAACGCTCCTTGGTCTGCAAGGCGCAGGAGCGCGCGGCTGCTCTGCCCTTTGGTCTTCCCTGGAAGACCTGCCAGGAACTGAGCCGTTGATACCGCTGCACAGGACCCACGCGCCATCGCAGCATAATGCACACAGTTCACCCTCCTGGGCACAGGAACACTGATTTAGAGGGATGCAAGGGAAGGCTGCACGTTGCCTAAGCATCCAGAATGCCGATTTTATGCAATGGAGACGGAAGAGGAGGGGGTTGGTCACCCTGTAAAATGTCACTGTTGAATGATTCTATCAAGACACAGCAAAAACCACCTGAATCAGCATCTGTTTGCAGGAGCAATGCCTTAAATTGAGTGTTTTATCAAGGTTCTCCTGTAATGGAGCATTGCTAGGCTGTAATCATCACCTGAATTTGCAAACGTGGGCACCTCAGCTAGCTCTCTGGTCACTTGGGCTCTCAGGGCAATCAGGGAAGTGAAGAAGTCTTTAAAGGTCTCTCTCATAGGTATTTTTGGCTCCATCGGGATCCTCACATTCCTTAGGCAATAACAGTTGGAGCTTTCAGATTAGGCGGTGCAGTAAGTCCACTCAGGGCTGAATTTTCTACCACCTCTGTGGCAGCCACTTCACCCTCTGCACCTTCCAGCGCTCAAGGACACGGGAGAAAGAGTTTCTCACCTTTCCGTCCTGCAACCCGAGCGCTCTTTACTGCACATCTCAGATCTTCCTTCTGACACCCCCGGGACATCCCCTGCCTTTCCCAGCTGCCCGGAAAAGGGGCAGTGAATCCGCACTGCCTTGGGGCTGCCCACCGCTTGTCAGCCGGCCAGCACGTCCTTCCAGGTGACCTAGACTTTCCTCAATGGCACACCGCTTTGACTCTCCAAAACTCCTTCCAGCTCTCTAATTTTAATAAAGCTCGCAGGAACTGCCCCATTTGGCTGAAAGCGGGTTCAAAGGTTCCTGGGGAAGGACGGAAGCAGCAAGACAAACGGCAGAGACGCAGAGTGTCGCCGCACGGCGAGGCTGCTTGTGCTTGCATGTCCTCAAGCACGCTGGTTGAACCCCCAAACTAGCGTCAGTCTGCAGGCAGATACCAGGGCTCTGCCTTGAGAACTGTCTCGAAGCTGCTTTGAGGGGCTCAACGTACGAACTTAGCTTGGGAACTTTGCTGCTTTGCTGGCCCCAGGATCTCCTGCTCGAGCAAACCAATGCTCCAGAAATAACGGCTGCGTGTGCTGCGAATTACTCTTTTGATCTTTCTTCTCAGTTGTCTTTTTCACTCCAATTAAGCACAAAACTAGTGTAGCGGCATGATTTTACGTCCACAGTGTAAATGTAGGTTATCTGAGGTTATCTGGATCTCCCCAGGGTTTCCCTCTCCCTGTGTCTGGACAGCTGGTGCTAGAAAGCATATGGCACACATAGGAGCAGCGAAATCCGCAATCTCCGAGCAGCGTGGCTTCAGACACACAACCCTACCCCTGCCATTGAGCGAAGGAGGACTCGCCGGCAACTGCAGGGAGTCAGGACTGTCACCTGGAAAGCAGTCAATACAGGAAAGTGGAGAGGAGAGGAGAGGAGAGGAGAGGAGAGGAGAGGAGAGGAGAGGAGAGGAGAGGAGAGGAGAGGGCATATCTGATCAGGACCCTCAAGGGAGCATCCTTAGCAGATGTGAAGAAGAATTAGCATTTCTAGCTAATAGAGACTATCCTTGCACCTCTGACGTCCATTTTGTGGCACGGACACATTATAGAACACATTACGCTGTTCAAAGTACTAGAAAAACATAAGGCAATAGCCTTTATCAGGCAAGAGCATATGATCTACTGTCTAAATCCACCAGTCCTTGCACCTGAATCATGGGACGAGTATCTGCTGTGGCATTCAGGGCTGAGTGGAGCATGTCCCAGACACATTCAGCCTTTCCAGGGAAACTGTTCTGCCTTCCCTCAGGAGATGCAAGTCCACGCTATGGATCTGAAGTTGCAGAGCTCCAAGATAAAATTCTGACTTTCACAACAGCTCTTTTACGTGGCAGCCCCACTACTGTCACAAAATTCTATGGGCTTCCTACATGAAAATGTATATGTGAAGTGTGTGTGTTCTTATTCTGTCTCTCGGGGTTTTTAAGGGACTACCAGATCTGCCCCCCATTCTACGATCCTCCAGCCTTTCTGTCACAAGGGCCTTTTTTCTGAGAGCTGGTGTGAACATGCCGTAGAGGTGTCCATGGAGGTAGATGCAAAGATTATTATTAGAAAAGAAAGCAGGCTGAAGAATGGAAAATTCAACCCTGAGACGTGTGTGCAGTTCTCCCAGGTCACAGGCTCTGGAGCCTGACGGCCTGGCTGAAGCCACTAACAGGACCTGCAAAGATGTCACGAAGGTCATAGAGGACAAAGAGAGGCTCTTCACAGTGTGCACGGTGGGTGCTTGAGGGAGACAGCAGAAATTCAGACAAGAGGGGTATATATGTAAGGAGAAACCTTTTTCCCACGAGGACGGTCAAACATTGGAATAGGTTGCCCAGAAGTTCCACGTTGGAGGTTTGCAAGACCGGACTGGTCCGACGGCATCCATGGTCCCTGCTGTGCGCAGGAGGTTGGACTAGGGACAACCTGAGGTCCCTTTCAGCCTGCTTTATCCTATGAATAGGTGTCTGCTTCCAGTATCAACAGCTCAGTTCCACTACGAAAAACAGCCTAACTAATAAAAAATATTCTAATAAATATTGGTTGTGGTCTGCGTCATGCATTGACTCAATCCTCTATTAGAGGAAACTGAATTTAGTACAAAACGATGAGCTAGCTCTCTGTCTGAGGGAAAGGACAGGAGGGGTCAGGCAAGAGCTCCCCTAAGAAAGGCTAGAGCACAAACCGCACGCAACAACAAATTTTGCAGCAAAAATTTGCGCAAAATTAATGTTCTTTTCCCCTTAGTTTTCTAACAAATATTGCTGATTAATTCTCTGTGAAAGTGCCCAGAGTCCCTCCAGGCGGGGAGGTCGTGGAAGTGCAACATGGAGCATGGACGGACAACAGCGACAGCGGCGACAGCGGCGACAGCGGCGACAGCGGCGACAGCGGCGACAGCGGCGACAGCGGCTCCGGGCCGGCGCGCCAAGGACGCCCCCGCGAGGCGCGGCCAGCGCTTCGCGCTGCCGCTAGGTTTGCCGCTCCCGGCGCGCCGTAGCTCGCGGGCCCTGCCGGGCAGCCGCGGGCGCTGCTGGGAAATGTAGTCGTGGCGGGCGCGCGGCGCGTGGGCGCCCCGCTCTGCAGCGCCGCCCGCGAACTACAGCGCGGCGGCGCCGGTGCCAGCCCGCTAAGATGGCGGCTCCGCTGGTGCTGGCGCTGGTGGCGGCCGTGACGGTGCGCGCCGCGCTCTTCCGCTCCAGCCTGGCCGCCTTCATCTCCGAGCGCGTGGAGGTGGCCTCGCCGCTCAACGCCTGGCAGCGAGGTGAGCGGGGCCCTGTGCGCGGCGCGGCCGGGCCCCGAGCGGCGGCGGAGCGGCCGGGCTTAGCGCCGGGCTTAGAGCCGGGCTTAGCGCCCGGCCTCCGCTCGCCGCTCCCGGCCTCGCGGCGCCCCGCGCTCCATTCCCTGCGAACTGCACGTCCGTGCTATCCCGCGGCGCCAGAGCCGCTCCCGAGCCGTGAGGCGGGTTAGGGCTGCTGCTCTGGAAACGCGGCGCCTGGTGTTGCGCACACAGCGTGCTCCGCAGGCCTCGGCGCAAAAAGCGGCCAGAACAGCAGAGGTGGGAAGCGGGAGGAGACTCGGAGCCCCAGGCCTGCGCCTGGCTCCGCAGAGTGCTCCTTCCGGAGAGCCCAGGGAGCCCTGGCAACACTCGGTGCTCCCCAAAGCCCTTCCCGCAGGACCGTGCCCGACGAGTCCCGACAGGATCAGCTTCAGTAGTCAGGTTGAAAGCAAAGCCTGTGGCGGGGACAGAATCCCCCCGGGCGCCCGGCCGAGCCGAGAGCCTCCGGTTGCTCCGGTCGTTCCCTGCCACACCGTGTGCCCCGGCCTCCGTGGGGCGCGTGCGGAGCCCCAGCGCTCCGCACCGGCCTTGGGGGCGTCACGGCGAAGGGCCAGGGCCAGGACCACCCCACCGCAGCCGGCTTCGAGGGTGGATGAAGCTTCCAGCATTGCCCCTGATGGCCGATGGTTTCTGTTCTGCTGTTGCGTGTGTCGGCTTTGGGGCATTTTGGGGCATTCTGCATTTCGTTTTACAAAACTGGCCAGGTTTTAGCGTTTTACAGGTGCATTTTACAAGGGAATGTTGTGATCATCCTTCGAGGGAAATATTTCTCCAGTGTATCTACCATACAACATATGATTTAAAAAATACCAAATTTTCTACATATGGTTTTATAACTGTAGATCTAAGAGTTCTAGTTGTCAGAAGCAAATAAGTAAATCATGACTCAAAGTTCAGACAAAATTTGCAAGGTAGAAATAAGTAAGAAAACTTTCTGCTGTAGCTGCTTATTGTACAGTTTTGTCATTCATTCAGGTGGTGACTTGATGTGAGATCCTTATCCCTGTAGGGATATTAGAAACAGTGTTTTTACCATCATGAGGTTTTTGTCTGTTCTAACACAGGCATTTTGTGTGTTTCAGTGGTCGAGGGATTAGCTCTGCTGGACTTAGGAGTCTCGCCATATTCCGGAGCAGTTTTCCATGAGGTTGGTAAGCATATTCCATTTTAAACGGGATATTTGCGTGGCACGTTTCTTCATCTTACTGCTCGTGGCCTGGTGACGGTTGAGGACGTTTCCTGTCCCAAAGACCTCAGGGCCTTTGGGCTCGTGTGGTTGCCTGTGTGAGAGCTCCGCGCAGCGACCGGTGAGACGAGGTTGTGAGCTCTGAGCTCGGTGCCGCGCAAGTAAACGGCGGCGACGCCGCGGGCCGGCGCGCCAGGGAGAGGACGCGCTGCTCCCAGCCAGCGCTGGCGCGGCCGGCGCCGGAGGAGGCGTCACTGGCTCCGAGCACCCTCTCGCCGAGGAGGCGGCAGCACCGCGAGCGGCCGCGCCGCGCTGTTGTGACGCTGAGGGGGTATCGGTGACCACGTGGGTTCTGCCCGTCCGCCCGCAGAGAGTGCTGGCTGGGAATGGTGCCCAGGGCTGCCCAGGCTGCTGCTGCCTGCGCAGAAAGCACTGCGCCTTAGCAGGAGCGCACAGAACCATCGGTCCTCGTTTGGGAACCTCCTCCTGCCTTCAGACGTGCAAGCGCCCGTATGCCAGAACGGGCTTAGTGATCTCCACGTGCCCCTACACCAAGCCTCACTCGTGAGCGTCAGGTACTCTGTAGCTCTGGAAACTTGCTATTTTTGATAAACTCCTTGTGTTTAAACATAACTCCCTGTATTTTTCAATGCGTTTTTATAGCATCGTATTACTTTGAAAGTATTTTAAAAGCAAGGCGTTTTCTCACGGTAAAGACTCAGTTTACACCATGTAAGTATACTGTATCTTCTGTCAAAGGAATAATTCCTAAGCTTGCTCTTCCTCTGGCCCTGAAAGGGAGGAGCGGTGGGAATGCGAGGCTAGCAGGACTGTGTCCCACAACTTTATGTTGCTAACATCCCATCTCCCTTTTGCGCTTACAAAACAACAGACAAAACAACAGTGAGATCAGCTGTGTAGGAAAAAGTTTTAGAAGTACAATGCAAATAACAGCATTTTAAAAATTTAGAAAAAAATCTATTTTTTTAAATTAGAAAATTTAGGGAAAAATAAGAAAATTATTCTCTAGGGAAAAGAAAAATAAAAATTTTCCAGAGCTATGGTGCTGTGGTTTTAATGCTTCCTTATGTAACTCTGTGCCAGCAAATTTAAATTTTTGTATGAAATATAATTTTTGAAGTTGATCAAATCTTTTTCTCAAATGTTCTGAAAACTTTCTGAGGAAGAAGATCCGTCAGTGTGGTCCGGTGAATCTCATTACTGTAAAGTGACAGCACCGTGGAAGGAAAATGGCCTTTTCCAGCCTTGCTCAGCCTTGCTACGTTTCCGCCTTCAAGTGATCAGTTGTTCCGTCCGCAGGTGGCTGGGCTGTGCTTGACGTGTGCTTCCCTTCTGCTTTCTCGTAGACCCCGCTGATGATTTACCTCTTTCACTTCTTGATTGAATACGCCGAGCTGGTGTTCATGGTAAGTGCCCCTGGGAAGCGTTTCTGTGGCAGGCCCCGCTCCGTGAAGTGCTGACTGGGACTTCCCTTTCGCTCTGGAAGAATCGGGGGCCTTCAGGCTCCTTGTTGTTCGGATTCCCCCTGAGCTCATGGTTCACCTGGAGAGGCAGCTGTGCCTCTACAGTCCCTAACTGAAGTTTCTCCCTTGCTCTACAAATTATTCCTTTTTTTCTGTTTGGTTGGTTTGGGATTTTTTTGACAGTTCTTGCCTGGATAAGTTGGTTTCAAGTTTCAAAGCTGACATCTTACAAGTACAGGGGCTTTTGTGTCACACACAAAAAAAAAAAAACAATAGTCAAAGTAACATTTTTTCCCCCAGATTACTGTTCTGTCTCCCTGAACTGCATGTTTTTTTCAATAAAACCCACTGCCAGCAATACAGTGAGAGCATGAGGGGCCCCAGCTCCAAGTGCATGAGCTATTCCACGAGTTCTGCATAGTGCAGAAGGACTAAAATGCTGTGGCTGGTTGTGCAGCCACCTCGGGGCGCTTCTGTGAGCTGAAGTCAACACATTTGCAGGATCTTTTTTCTCCATTTACTTGTTTTCCCTAACAGTCAGTCTTTCCTTGCCTTCTTTTCCCAGATAACTGATGTGCTAACTGCTGTTGCCCTTTACTTGGCCATCCAGGACTTCAACAAAGTTGTGGTAAGCTGACACATCAATGCTGCTGCTCCTCCTCCCAGCAGTTATCAATACCTTGAGCCAAAGAAAACATGTGGCAACGAATCCAATATCAAGCAGTCCTTGTTGCTTGGCAAGTGCAGGGAAATCTGCTTGTCTCTGGATGATGAGCAGATATGGAGACCTGCATGCGGGAAGCCTGCTAGGATGCTTTTCAGTTCTGTTGTGTCACTGTTATGATGTGAGGCAAATTGGTGTACAAAGCTTGTCCGCTGCACTAGAGGGCCTCAGAGGTACAGATCCCGTAGTCTGAAAGCAGTTTAAAGAGTTTGACTAATTCTTGAGTACAACAGTCAATGAGTCAGTGAAATGCAGACAGCTCTAGGGTCACGACACACGGGGAGATGTGAGTTTCTGGGACATATATTGATTCGTGTGGAAGTTGGAAGCATGCAGAATTACTGGCATCACGGCATCGTAGAATAAGAGAGATGAAGGAGACGTATTTTGCATCTGTAAAGGAGACTTGACGCTGAAGTGTACATTTTCAAAATAACAAAGACTGCTCGGTTTCTGTGGGGCTTGTATGTTAACAGTGCATTTATAAAGTCAGTGTTTCACTGGAGAACCAAACACACTTTAGGAAGATGGAGAGTAGTAAACTCTGATGTGGGGAATTCACTGTCAACTGTTTCAAGTGGTAGACATAGACAGTTAAGGAAGTTCAAAGAAATGGGGATTATCTCCTCTCTCATCTTCAGTTTCAATTGTTAAGTATTTGGGAAAGAAGAGACTGTGTTTCTTCTATCTGTACAACATGTCACATATTAGAGTTTTAGCTCAAGCATGGGTCTCACAGAAGGTTTGAAAATAAGGGAAATCATAATTGATAATGAACAGGGACTTGCCTCATCTGACAGTCTTTGGTCATTCTCCCTTGTTCAGTTTAAAAAACAAAAGCTTCTAATCGAGCTGGATAAATATGCATCAGACGTGGCTGAGCTCATCCGGACGCCCATGGAGATGCACTACATCCCCCTCAAGGTGGCCCTGTGGTAAGTGGTGCTGCCTGTAGGCGCCAGCAGCCGACTCCTCAACTCGCCCTGCCTTTTATTTGTTCCGTTTGGGATTTCAGCATTTGTTGAAGATTTTCCTTTCATAAAGTGTGAATTTCCCATTGCACATAACATCTCCTCAGCCCTGAGTACTCAATTAGAAAATACTCAGTTTGAAAATGAAGTCATTCTTCCAAAAGTATGTGATCAAAGAATAAATTTGCTCAGGCCCTCTAAAACATCTTGCCTTTATTCTTATGTCTTCAAAAGTAATTTTATATCTTCCAAGTATTTCAGGGGTCTTTTCAATGCAGAAATCTTTTAGTATGTGGGGGGAGGAAGTTAAATAAGATCATTATAATTCTCATTTCCAAAAGAAGCCAGCGTCCTTACTAATTAAAATGTGGTCGTATTCTAGAAAGTGAGTTCTTATTCTGGATTTGCTGTGCCCAGTTTACGTATAAAAAGTTGGCATATTTTCAACTGGTACCTTGGGCCCTGAGAGTCGGTTGCAGTGACTCTTCTGCTCAGATCATGCTGTGGTGAATGGAGGGAACTGAACTACCCCGGCAGGAGCACCCAGGTGGAATAGGGCTGCTCGTGCACCAGACAGAATCAGTTCTGTCTTTCTGTCTTATTTTTGTTACTGCTCCAGGGGCAGCAGATAGGAGAAGATAAAGAACTCACTTTGGACCAGTGTTTGTAGGTCTGACTGAATATATTCACGTGGCTTCTGAGAAGCAAGGAACTTTTGTTAATCATTTTCTATGGCGTAGCCAAACATTTAGGCATCTTCCCAACCATCTCCATTCTGCTGCATGCTCTCTATGGCTATTATGTCCTAGGCTACAATCCAAAGATCTGAGTTTTGCTTCAGACAAAAGCACCACTTCACCTGAGTTAATTTGATGATGAGAGGAACAAATAATATATACATAAACAAAATAAAATGGCAAATTGTATTTTATTTTGCCATTGAACTTTATTTAATGTTATATCCTTTAAATGGCATGAATATAACCTGAGTTTTTGCTCTTTTTCAGCTATCTCTTAAATCCTTATACTGTGATGTCTTGTGTGGCAAAGTCCACCTGCTCTATCAACAATACTGTCATTGCATTCTTCGTTTTAGCTACAATAAAAGGTAAAACATTGGGGAAAAATTTCTTTTCATGCCCTTCTGCAAAGATTATTTGATACCCTTCTGCAAAGATTATCTCCAGTTATTGACTAATGAGGCAAGAGGAGTTTTCCGTTAAAAGCATTTAGAAAAGCCAAGGAGCAAGGTCCGTTTGGCTAACCTGATTTTTAAACTGTTTTTTCCATGCTGACACTGTAAGACAAAGCTTTGCCGTAGCAGGGCGGTGTTGGCTGTCCCCTGTGCTCTGCCTGACGTGGTGTGGGGCAGCCTCTAGTGCCCAGAGCGAGCAAGGGGGGATGTCAGGTTATGACAGGGAGTTTTGGGTACCAGCTCTGTAGCACTGTGCAGAATTTAATGCTCCATAATATGAACCTTAGGGAAGCTACTGCATAGGAGATTTTAATTGCAGTTGGAGAAGACTTACCACAAGGCATACTTTCTCTTTTAAAAGATGGAAGCAGTAGAGCTTGCCAAGTATTTGATGTCAGTGACTGGATACGTCTGATAATTAGCCCAGGGAACTGACTCAGGGTTCTTGCTAAGCTGTACTTTTACTGATAAGTTTGATCAAGTGACATAACACAAGAAGTTCTAGCCAGATTACCGCACTGGGTGCTCCCGTTTCTTGGTGTGTAATCAGGCATTTGAACTTGCTCTTTCGGTGGGAGGCCACAGCTGCAGCCAGGGTGCTTGACAATGAGCACACTCAGCGGTTAGCTCAACCCGAGCTGCCTCACGCGAGGCCGACACAGACGTCTGTGTTGAAAGATGACTTGGAAGGTCTGGGCCAGTCCTTTCTGAACCTCAATTTTCGTATCTGTAACGGGCTGAGGCCACTGCTCCCCTTCAGCTGCAGACCTTCACTTGTGCTGCTGCTCAGAGCTTCACAGAGGGCCCTGGCACGCTCTGGTGACAGTGGCGGCCGGCCTGGCTGCCTCTAACAGCTGTGTCCTGCACAAATGCCCTAAGTGAATGTATTCCTCCTCGCAAACAGGCCAGCGTGAGTGGCTGCCATATATATATAGGCTGGGTTATATGAATATCTTTCTGTCAGTTATAGGGGATAGAAACCTTGTTTCATGTAAGAGGTGTGGGTCATTCTCCTTTCAAAAGCATAGCTAACAAAAGGGCACTCTCCGGTCAGCGGTTCAGTTAGTGGTTCTGGTGTTTGTAGAGCCCTTTGGACTTCCTGTCTCTAGGGCTGTTGTTACTAAATTTTCCCTTTGAGTGAGCTTGATTTTTCTCTTTGCAGGTAGTGCCTTTCTCAGTGCAATATTTCTGGCCTTAGCAACCTACCAGTCATTATACCCTGTCACGCTCTTTGCTCCGGCTCTCCTTTACCTTCTACAGGTAAGTGATTTTAACCTGCATCTCCGTTGTCTGGTCACATCCGTGCAGGGTCAGCTCTTCCCAGCTACTGAGAGAGGCGAGTTGGCGGCAAGTGCTGAGTGTCAGAAGAAGTGCCTCTCTGCTCCGGCCACGGAAAGTTCAAGGCCCTAGTGGGACGATGGGATGGTGCTTGTGTGTAGCTGGTGGACCTTGCGCCTCTGCCTTCACAGGACACTGGTTGGGTCCCTCAAAGCCGGTCTTGGTCGCTCGGGGTGCCCACCAGCTTCTCAGGGAGACGCTGCTCCAGGCAGGCGGGACGCCCCGCTGCGGGGACATGTGGCTTCGGAGCTGAGGCCGCTCCTTGCTGCTGAGCAGAAGGCAACACGTGGAGAACGCTGCAGTCGTGGCTTGTGCAATAGGGCTGATGAGATGGGGGTGGCCAAGCAGAAGGCAAATGGGATGGACTGATTCACCGAGTCGGTTTGTCCGCCTGCAGAATTCTGGGCGACTTCCAAAGGTGTTTGACCCTGTGTAAAAACTTGTCATTACGTACGCAGGGAGTTCTTAGACCTCGTGGTGTGAAATGCCCATATGTCATATTCTGCTTAATCAAGCAGCACAGCATGTGTGATTGAAGTGGTCTGAGGGAAGAACCTCCAGCAGGTTGTGTTGGAAGGCTGCTCCCCCAGCGCGGCAGTGCCGGGATTTGGTGCTTTTTCATAAGTTTCAAAAGATGTTCTGAGCGCCCCAGCTTGTTGGTGGCTTTCCAATTGACGAGCCTCTTTGTGTTTTGCTTCCAGCGTCAATTTATACCAGTCAAACTGAAAAGTAAAAGCTTCTGGCTCTATACCATGCAGTATGCAGCGCTGTACCTGTGCAGCCTGGTGGTGATCATCTGCCTCTCCTTCTTCCTCCTCAACTCCTGGGATTTTATCCCAGCAGTTTACGGGTTTATGTAAGTATAGGAATTCTAAGTGTTTTTCAGTCCGAGCCCCTCTGTGTTGTTTCTTGTGCCTCACATAAAGCAGCAGCACTTCCTGTGCTCAGGAATGGGCAATCTCTGATTCCACTGGCAATGCAGGAAGAGAAAAAGAGCTGGCATTAGCCAAATTCTGTTAATTAAGCAACAGCAAGAATTAGAGAAAATGGGAGATATGAGGAATAGGCGAGAGAAGTTGCTTTTTTTCCTCTGAGCAGATGGATGGAAAATGAGTTTGATCATTGAGCTGCTGTGGTTGTGAAGTTTTCTTCTCTGGAGGTTTTGAGCCAGTTAGACAAGTATCTGCTCAGATGTGGTTTAGATGCGAAGGACATAAGGAAGGATTGATTCCCACCCCCCCCCTTTTTTTTTTCCTCCAGGTTTTCATCTCTTTGGTTTCTCTTTCACATATTTAAAATTTAGGTCCTCCATTCAATAGCACACAGTGATTTGTTAATGAAACAGAAACAGTGTAAAACAATTGTTTAAAAATGCTACCTTGATTTTTCTTTTTAAATTTCAGCCTTTCAGTTCCAGATCTGACACCCAATATTGGCCTTTTCTGGTACTTCTTTGCGGAGATGTTTGAGCACTTTAGTCTTTTCTTCGTATGTGTGTTTCAAATCAACGTGTTTTTCTATACCGTTCCCTTGGCAGTAAAGCTAAAGTAAGTATGTTTCTTTGCTATTTTTTGATTCTTTCTGAATTGACAGATTCTGTATTTTATGCTGTTCAGTCTCTGCTCATGGGACTGAGAGGAATCAAGCCTTTTGTGAGATGTACTTTTCTTCACTGACGTATTTGCTGTGTGAAAAATTGTTTAAACTCTTAGTGAACTAAGTCATGATTGTCCAATGGAAACTTATGAGACTGGCACCAGATCTCTGGATCTGAGAGCCTGGAAAAGATAGGTTTTACATGGGGCTGTCCTGCTCATTTCCCAGAGTTGGATATTTTTTCTCTTAAGCAAAGTATGTGCCAGATTGGAATCAACAGGAGTGTAGCTAGTAGTTAAAGGGAAAAGTTACTCTTTAAACCACATCTGGAATACTGCAGTTTTTGGCCTCTCAGTAGAAGAAAGATGTTGATAAAATTAATGAAGTCCAGTGGAGGATCATGAAGCTGGTCGGAGGGCTGGAGACCAAGGAGAAGCTGAGAGAACTAGGCTTCTTCAGCCCAGAGAAGAACAAGTTTCAAAGGTACCTGATAGCAGCTTTTTAGTATCTGAACGGGGGTTATTGAGAAGGTAGAGCCACACCTTCTGCTGAAGTGCACTGACGAATAAGAGACAGTGCCGTTATTTGAAAGAGGGAAGGTGTTGACCAGATATAAGAAAAGAAAAAAGTCACGGTGAAGACAGCCAGGGATTAGAAGAGGAACCCCTGTCTTGTCCTCGGAGCTTTCCCCGATCTGACTGGACAAAGCCTTGAACAGTCTCATAGGAGCTCAGCGCAGGCCCTGCTTCGAGGAGGAGGTTTTACCAAAGACCTCCTGAGGTCACTTTTTTCACTGGGCTGTGGCTGAGGAACCTCCTGCTGCTCTACCCTTGCACACTCGTGGAAGTCCTTTTTTTGCCATCCTAATAACCTGCACTGATGTTTGGAGCTGGGAAGATTCTTCTCCTGCAGAGTGCCACTAAACCACGGTCAGGGTTCTGAGGAGGCAGCAGAGAGATGCTCACCCTGCCTCTGCTTGAGCCATGCCCTGCTCTCGGTGTGTTTGGGAGGCTGGGAGTAGCCTGTGGTCACAGTGTGTGACCGTCGCTTACGTGTCCTGTGAATGCAGCGTAAGAGAACCCCTCGCTGTCGCCTGAAGTGCTGCGTAGGGCTCTTGGACACCTGCATTTCCCAACAGGATATTTTCTGTCATTTTGTTTCCCTGTCATTGTCACAAAAAGCTGCAGTAGGATCATTGTCATTAATCTTCAGATTAATAATATCTGAAATCTGGAAAGGGAGCACATCTAACTGATACTGCATCCTTAGTCCCACCACTACTCATGTAACAGAAAACTGCATGGCCTGTGTGCCTCGCACCCTGGGAAGGGTGTCTGGATTAACAAGCCCCTGGCAGTGACTCACTGTGTTATTTTGGTGTCAAGAAAATATTTGAAAAAATACTTGATTCAGCGTTTGCCATGATGCTGTGACTCAGCTGGAGTTGTTGAACATCTGCATTTTTCATAATGCAATTTTCATAATGAGCAAGACGAAATAACCAATTCTTGCCCAGATGCATCTGGATCTGTGAGTTGGGCTCTGCTATGTGTGTATGGACAGATATCAAGAGGGCACAGATGTCTGCTCCCTGCCAGAGTAACCAGTGGTGTCAGAAAGCACGAACTCCTGCCTGGAACTGGTTTGTTACTGCGAGGTGCTAGCTCAGGGGTATTGGTAGTGGACCTTTGCCAGCAAGTTTATCCTTTTTTATCATAAAAACATCCATCAACTGCCTCCATTCACAATGGGCTTATTCCAGTGGCTTGGAATTGGTGCTGGCATCCTGGCATACCAGGAGACTCGCCCAAATAACCCTCAGAAGGGGGTTTTTGCTGATGACTTTTCTGTGAATGTGACAGAGCTGGGAAGGAGCAGCCAAGATGAGCAGCAGTGTAACTGCGTGTTGAATTTGGCCACAGAGTTTCCGTGTGAGCTGCCCTGTGTTCTGCCGTGCTGCTTCTCTGCCCCGTGGGTCTGCCGGTGCCCACTGCACCCCGGAGCCTCCCAAAGCCTGTCCTGCCCTTGCTGACCTTCCTTTCCACAGAGCCTGCTGCATCCTCTTACCCTTTGTGTCTTTTCCCTTCTAGGGAGCACCCCATGTTCTTCATGTTTGTCCAGCTCGCCATCATTTCTATCTTCAAGTCCTACCCCACGGTGGGAGACGTTGCACTGTACATGGCCTTCCTTCCAGTCTGGAGCCACCTTTACAGATGTGAGTCCTTTGTGGTTTGTGGTTCCGTATCTGGAACGGGAAGGGATCTGTCCGGTAACTCGCCGCTAAACCAAACGAGGCTCTTGGAGCAATCTGGAAGCAAACTTTACTTCCAGCGATGCCGTCTCTGAAGTAATTTTAGGACCAGGGTTGAGAGACATCACAGGAGGAGTTCTCACTTTTACATTACCTTCCCTTTCTTTACAGTTCTTAAAACGATTAACTTTTCTGTAAGAATCTTTGACCATCTTGCTCAAAGGATGTGGCTCATGCAAAATACGTCAGTCCTTTGAATTCAGCCAGGGCAGGGCACGTTTCGCTCCCATTTAAGGCTGTGGAATCTGTGTGCTCTTCCTGATGGCTCTCCCAGCCTTACAGTCCTGCAGCCTTGCAGTGCCTCTGTGTTTTGCACCTGCTTGCTTGCTCGGAGTGAGGGTAACTGGATTAGTCCAAGCCATGGTCCAGTTTTTATGTGCTTTGTAATGAGCCTCTTTAGTTCTTTAAATCACCAGAGCTGCTCCCTGCTCATTTTCAAGCTCTGTCTCGAGGATTTGCTACCCGGGGGAGTTTTTGCAAGTATAATGCTCCCAAAGAGCTGCATTTTTCCTGGCTTTGTCTGCTGCGTTCGCTGCAATGCAGCCGCTTTGAGCAGTCCTGGACTTTTGCTGTAGTCTTCTGTCAGCTGCTCAAGGGCCTTTATGGTCAACAAGCCCGTCTTGTTTCAGGAGGAATCGCCAGGAGCCCCGAGTACTTTGGGGATCTTTGGCTTTATTTAAATGCTGATTCTCTGCAGCATCAGCAGTGGGGAGTAAAACAGGACACTCCGGCCGCGACACAGCGGGGAGGCAGCGGCAGGCGAGCGCTGCGTGGTGCAGCCCGTGCCGCCCACGGCCGAGTCTTGGCCTTTCAGTCACACCTTTTGGAAGGGGAATTACCTTCAGGAACTGGAAAGGCAGGGCCAGGGCTTCATGACCCTTAGAAGGGGAAATGGAGTTGCCTTTAATGGGCAGTTTGTCTCAGCAGTGCGATTGCTTCTGAAAAAGGCAGGGTCCTCAGCAGAAGAATGTCTCTTTAGAAGCAGGAAGGAGCTACAAATAAGAGATTCATACTCCAGCAAAGGCAAAGTTGTTTATTTTAAAGGAAACCTATAATGGATTTCTTAATAATTCTCTTGCTAGAGTTAGTAAAACAAATGTAAAAGATGATTACTGGAGAGAAGTGTTGCCTCTTCACTGCCTTTATCCTAAAAGCCATTGCCTGATCAGGGCTGGCCACTGCATGCATCTCTGTAACCGCTTGCTTTTCTTTTGCAGTCCTCCAGAACATCTTCATCCTGTCTTGCGTGATCGTTTTCTGCTCCCTCCTGTTCCCCGTCTTGTGGCATCTCTGGATTTACGCAGGAAGTGCCAACTCCAATTTTTATTACGCCATCACGTTGGCTTTCAACGTAGGGCAGGTCAGTAGAGCGAAGCCAACGTGGCAGCACCTTGGGGAGTGCGGTGCATGAAGTGGGATGTGGTACCACTTTTTTTCCCTGAAGCAGAGGATTGCAGCTCTCTGAAATGTGGGACTGAGGGAGTACACGGGGTCCCTGTCGTGCCTGGGCTCTCCCTGCCTCTCGTAAGATGATGCCCTTCTAGGTAAGGGAACCGCTGGCGTCAGGGAAGACGGAGCGTAGCACCCCTGCAGGATGAGGTCCAGTGTACCCGATTGCTACAACCTTTTCGGAGTCCTCTGCTTCTCTGTGCTGTAGATCTTCCTTAACTCCTGGGAAGTTTTCATGTGCGAGAGCTGAGTGCTCTAGTTCATGTTAAAGCTGCCGTAATTATGAACACTCCTCAGGCATCTAAGCTTGTCTGCTTCTCCTAAAACTGGAGGCACCCTTCTGCTGCGGGATGAAAAGCAGCTGCTTAGGCATCCCCCACCACTTGATAAACGGGGGCAAACACTTGTTCTGTAAAAGCAAAAGGAGGCTCAGTGCAAGGAGTAGGAGATGGAGTGTGGAGGGGCTCTCGTCCCAGAGGGTTTCACAGGGAATTGGAGCAGTTCATCAGCTCTCTAACTAATAGCTGTGGAATCGCAGGAACAGTGAAGCTGCCATTTGGATACCTTAAAAGGGTTTGGTTTCTGTTTGAGAAAGTTGTAGCAGATTCTGCCAGGTTTTGTGCTCTGTATGCATGTGAATAGAGCAGAAATCTCGTCTCTGCTTTTCTTGTTTCTTATGCTAGCCCTCATCCCTGCTAGCCCCTGTTCTTTCTTTTCCTGTTAAAAGACATCAGCAAACAAGTTTAATTGGAAAGAAAAAATCGAAGGGGTTGCTGCAGTGTGGCCGTTGTCAGTGCTGGTGCTCAGCAAAGCAAGCACACCAGTTAAGTGCTGCTGCTTTCTCTGTTCCCAGGCACCTCTGTCCTTCTCTCGCTGTCCTCCTGACACCTCCGCACAACCCAAGTGTGCCTCGAGGAGGGGAGCGACCTAACCATGGATGCCAGGCTTCCCTAGGCAAGGAATTTCAGCTGTGAAAGTAGCTGGCAGCAGTTCCAGCCTCGGGCCTTCCTAGCCAAGTGGGATGGTGCCCGCATCAGTGTGTGTAGCAGTGTGTTAGGAACTGGATGAGGGGAAAAAAAGATGTTTTTAGGGGTAGCCATCACTCTCCTCCATTTAAAAGAACCAGAGCACAAGCTTAAGCACAGGCTTGGCTGCCCCACTGAGAGAGCACTTCAGCCCAGTGGCAAGGAGATGGGAAACCAATGGGGATAGGAGCGCTTTGATCTGGTGCTGCTCTTGGATATTGTCTGCGAAGCCGCAGCTTTGGTTCTTCTGCTCTCCTCTTCACCTCTTAGCACATACTGCTTCTGTTACACCGCCAAAAACTTGTTTGCTAAGGTGGACCCGTAAGGCTGTGGTGGCTCCACTTCTGCCTGCATGTCTCTTACCCTCTCTGAATATAAATTGCAACTGAGAAACAAGCACAATTGCAAAGTCCTCAGTAGCAGCCGTCAGTAAGAGAGTTTCAGCCTCTGGGCTGGGTTAATTACAGCACGTGCATGGGAGCAGGTGACGTCTGAGGTTTGGAGACGGGCTGTAAAGCTGTGGCCCAGCTGGAGCTACCACTGTCATACGGAGTGGTGTGTTCATGGACGTGCTGTCTGCTCAGCTCAGATGCCCATGGGAACACAGAGGCTGTGAACCCAAGCAGTTTAAACCTCTCTTGGTTTTGTTGCGTGAGATGAAGGTCAAGGGATGTCCACATGGCTGCAGTGCCTCCTCTCACAAAGTGCCATGAACAGCGTTAAGAACATCTTAAATCCTTTCCATGTCTGTTGTAAGCACATTCCCTTTGTCTTTTTTCTTTTGAAACTTTACTGATGTGTCTGAACATTTCACTTTTGCAGATCCTGCTCATCTCGGATTATTTCTATGCCTTCCTCCGACGGGAGTACTACCTCACTCATGGACTCTATTTGCAAAGGCAAGATGGGACAGAGGCCATGCTTGTTTTGAAGTAGGGATCATATTCACCAGTCTTGGGAAGTGGACCTAGAGAACTTACAAAGCTTGGGGGCTATGGGGTGGGTGGGGAAGGTTCCCTGGATGAGGTCGGACATTGAGGATGATGCCTACTGAAGAGAGCGGAGAACGTTCTGGAAACACCCTCCTGAGCTACAATGGTGCAGAGAGTGCAAGAGGAGCCCCGGTGCCTCCCTTGGAGCGTCTCCCCTCTTCCCTCAGCCGTGCTTTTTACTGCGACCTCAGCCATCAACTCTGGGCAGTCCAGCAGGAACTGGAGAAAGTGCCTGGGCTGAAAACAGGGCTGGCCCGGGAGGAGCTGAGAACATAACCTGTTCACTACTACTGCTCCCCGGAGATGTTGGTTTCTCCTGGAAATTCCCCCTTCACTGCTTTGACCGCAAGTGTTGCTGCTTGGCATGAGACAATCTCTTGGCATCAGGGCCTCAACCTGGGCTGCATTCAACTTGGATGATCTCTCTTGGTTCTCATCCTGTTGTTGGATCTGCTCAGGCACAGTGGGAGCTTGTGAAACACATGAGCTGTTGGAAGGAGCATGGCTTAGGCTACCGCTCTCGATAGGAAAGTCCCCATCTTGGAGCTCAGAGCTACTGAGAGCTGCGAGGGGGCTGGAAGCAGGAGCAGGACAGGGACTGGGGAGCTGGTGGGTTCTGCTGAAGCAACGCAGACACTTTGCTGTTGGAGCTGCACAGAAGCACTGCAGGGGCTCGGAGGCAGGGACACTGCTGTGGGGCTAGGAGTAGTGGGAGGCTTTTACCCGTACCTCACACAGCGTGCCAAGGCAGGACTCAAGCTCCAGGCAGCGTGATGGCTTGGCACAGCTCGTGTGGAGCTGTGGGGCTCAAGCTGTCCCACAGCAGCTCAACAAGCAGCTCCCTGGCATTATCCTCTTGCAAGGACGGTGCTGGTATCTTGTAGCTGTGCATGGAGGCCTGCACAGAACCCACAGTATCTCTTGGTTCCCCCATCCCTTCCCTTTGTATATGTTCAGATCCACTCACCTGAGAGCTTTTGCTGCTGACTCCGTGAATGTGACTGACCTAAGGGAACCCAGGCTGGATTTTTCTCTCTGCTGGTTGCATGTTGGCACTGAGAAGCAGTAGCTTAAACACAGTGTTGGAAGCTTTTCCACTGGTGTCTGGACAAGAAGCCCTGTTGATCTCAAGAAGAATTTAGAGGGCTGCTAATTTGACAAACTAGAAACTACATCTGTTACAGAGCAATTGTATTGGGCCCTGCCCAAGCAGCTTTCTTTTTTTAATTATTTTTTGTTCTTTCTGGACAATAATAACTTTTGCCTTACTGCAGTGCTTTGTGCGGTGAGCGGCTCTGCCCCGCGTGCGGCCGGGCCCGGCCGGGGAGGCTGCGTGCCCGCGGAGCACGATGACCTGCACGGGGGTGAGGGCTGCCCGCGTGCCCTGCACTGGGCACCCCTGGGCACCAGGAGCGGGGCCTGAGCCGGGAGGGCGCTCAGGGTTTGTGCTCACGTGACTAAGGGGAAAAGAACCGCGTATTTTTACTGCTTCAAGACTGGAAGAGTTTTTCACTTGCATCTGAAAAGGATAAATATTTCCAGAATGTAGGAGCCCGGGGAAGGCAGGGTTTGGTCAGAGGGGACCAGGGCCCTCTGACGTACACTAAAAGACAAACCAAAGGGGCCGGAGGGAGGCCAGAGGGCAAAGGGGGGCTCCAGGGCATCCTGAGCGGCACCCAAGGAGTGCAGGGAGCGAACAGAGGCATCCCGAGTGGATCAGAAGGAAAGAAGGGTCATAGTGCCCGCGAGAAGGGAAGCGGAGGGCTCCAGGGCACCCTCAAAGGTGCTTTGTTTTTAAGAAGTGTTTTAACCCATTACATTTATTCTCTGTGAGCTTTCAAACATTTGGTTGCACACTTTGTCTCACAAAATACACAGGGCCATTTTTTTATATATAGTTACGGCTTTCATACTGTTTTTTACCCCCGCAAGAAAGCTGCTGAGAAGTGAAAGGACGGCAGCCGCGAGGCCCCTTCACCTGCGTGCGGCGAGGGCGTGCGTGACGGAGCGGGGCTGCCCTGGGGGGAGGCTCCGGCCTCCCCTCGGACCTCTGCCCTCTCCCTTCGGACCTCGCTGCCGCCCCCTTCCCGCCGCCCCAGCGCGGCCCCAGCACCCACCGGCCCCCAGGCTCAGACCTTTCCCTGCGTGAGTTGATGCAGGCCGGGCCGGATCCACCGCTCCGTGTCCAGAGCCCAGGCCCAGCTGCTCCCATGCCCAGCGGCTGGGGCCGCTGCTGCTCCCGTGTGCCGGCCCAGGCTGCAGGGGGACGGTGCCCGCGCTCGGGGATGGAGCTGAGCCCCCGGGCAGGGCTGCTCAGGGCTGAGGATCCCCCAGCTCCCTGGCTGCCTTTGCCGCTGTGTCACCCCGCGGGGGGAAACCTCTCCAGATGCTGCCGGTGCCTCCTTCCCACAACGGAAGCGGCCACAGATCCTCCCTCGGTGCTTCCAGAGCCTTCTGGGCAAGAATGACCTGAGGCCGGTTGCTGTCCACCGCCAGGCGCCTCAGGAAACTCTTCCTCCAGCAGCCTCTGAGTGGCCGGAGGGCCACAGCGCCAGCTTCTCTCTGTGCTCCTCTTTTTGGGACCACCGCACCTGGAAAGCAGAAGCCCAGCCTGGACAGGGGCTGCCAGCACAGCCACACGTCACCCCAGTGTCGGGCACAGGCGCTGCCCCCACGGCCCAGCCCACACGGCTGCTGGAGACGGGGCCGCAGCAGGTACGGCCATGGTGGAAGGGTCCGTGGCCAGGCACGAGCCACACCAACACGTGCTCCGGAGCCTCCAGAGAGACGGGAGACAAGGACAGCGCTCCCCTGCGCTCACGACCTCCCCCGGCTCTGACCCCAAGGCTGCCCCGTTCAATGGTGCAAAGGTATCGCCCGGTGCCCTGCAGGGTCCCCATCCCGGGGCCATCCGGCTGCTGCCTGTCTCCAGGCAAGATGTTGACAGTTGGCACAACCATTGCAACAGTCATGTTGCAACTAGCAATAGAGAGCATGACCTACGTGTTGATCCCAAAACAACGGCCCCGGGGGCCCACAGAAGCAGGAAGGGTCCTCCCCAGCAGCTAACAAGTTGCTGCGTCTCCGTTGCTGCCTCACAAATGCAGCAGGGGCTCTACGGGACTCCAGAAACGGGCACCCTTCCTCATGGCTGGCACATCTGTCCTTGGCAAACGCCCCAGCCCACGCAGGGCCCCTGTCCCCACCAGCGGAGTGGTCCTTGGGGCAGCCTGTTCCTGGGACAGCCAGGGCTGGAGGCAGCTCATTCTCGGGATAACCAGGCCTTGGGACATTGCATCCTTGGAGTGACCCATTCTCAGGCCACCCCCAGCTTGGGGCAACCTGTCCCATGGGTGGCCCAGCTGCCCCTCTCCCTACAGCGGCGTGGGGCAGAGCTGGAGGAAGGCGGTCGCACCGTGCGGCGTCACAGGGTGCGCGGGCAGGGCCGGGGCGCGGGGTGCCCGGGGAGGGGCCGGCTAAACATTAACAGGGCCCAGGTGGCACCGAGGGCTGCTGGCAGCGCCGGGCCCGGCCCTGGGCACTGCCGGAGCAGCCGGGCGCCTCCATGAAGGGTCTGCGGGCCCGCTACCACCTCCTGGTAGGTCACTGCGCGGGGCCGCGTGGGCCTCCAGAGCCGACCCTGCCTGGGCTTTCCTGGGGCGGGATGGGGACACAGGGAGCCCGGGCTGCAGGGGACTCGGCCTGGGCAGGACCCGCCAGAATCGGCCTTGCTGGGCCCGGGCAGGGCAGCGGAACGGGCCCCAGGGCAGGTAGTGCTGCCAGAGCAGCCTATGGATCCTGGGCAGTGCTGGGAGAGCAGCCTATGGATCCTGGACAGTGTTCTGAGAACAGCCCTATGGATCCTGGGCAGTGCTGGGAGAGCAGCTTATGGACCCCGCTCCACAGGATCCAGGGGCAGCGCCGCCAGCCCTGGCATCCCGCTGAGGCCACTGGGCCCAGGCCTGTGATGGCACAACTGATATATTTTTTTTCCAGATAGATGACTGAAAGGGCTCAGAAATTACATTAAGACATAATTCAGGGCACAAGAGTGTATCTTGCTGTTCAGAACCCCTCACCCCTTTTGAGGACCTGGGCAGAGCCTCAGTGTCCCCTCAGGAACGTGGCCCATGGGCAGGTGACACCAGCACCATGAGCTGCCGCTGTGTGCTCTGCCCTTGGGCGTGGGGGTCCTCAGCAGGCACTGGGGCCGCCACGCGGAGGGGCGCGCTGCACCCGCAGCACCCCGCACTTCACACGCAGCAAAGGGCCGGGAGCACAGCAGGAAGCTGGGGCTCTGCCAGGGAGCTCCCGAGCTGGGGAGGCTCTGGAGCCCCTCGCGCCACCTCCGTCCCCTGTGCTAGGTGGAGGATGCTGCGCTCAGGTCGGGGTGCTCACGTGCCCTCTGCCCACAGGAGCACCTGGATGAGGAGCTGTCCCCCGTGTGCGCAGAGCCGGAGGACGAGGGGCAGCCGGGCGGGCGGGATGCGCCCGGGGCGCCCGCGGCCCTGGAGGGGCCCTGCCAGCTGCAGCTGAGCGAGCCCAGCAGTGTCTTGCAGAACAAGGAGATCCCGGAGGTGAGGGGCCGACCCACCCACACGGGACCCCGCGCTCGGTGCCCAGCATCGTGCTCAGTGCCCGGCATCGCGCTTGGCTCCCTGGCACTGTGGGGCCCAGGCCGTGCAGGGGGCTGCTCCGGTGCTGCAGGGTTGGTCTGGTGCTGGCCCCAGCGGTGGGGCCCGGCCCCAGCCATGCCCCACATTCTCTGGGATGGGCCCTGAGCATGACCCAGCCCCAGGAGCAGAGCCCCACAGGGGTTCTCGGCACCGTGGACCGTAAGCAGCTGGTCTTCACGGGCTCCATGGGCACAGCTAGGAGGGCGCTCAGGCAGGCGGCTGCTGTGGGGAGCAGAGGCCAGGGCAGCTGAGCAGAGGGCAGTGCCCACATCCCCGGGCCCTTTGGGCGGCTTGGCCTCCAGCTCAGGAGGGGAGGGGAGTCTGGTGGGGCTGAGGGGCGGTGGGACAGGCCGGGGACAGCGTTCACTGACCCCAACCCGCCCCAGCTGGCGCCCCACCTGCCCCGGCGGCTGAGCCACGAGCCCTGGCGCCTGCTCTACTGCGCCGCGCGGGACGGCTTCAGCCTGGCCACGCTGTACCGGAGCACGAGCCGCCGGAGCGCCCCGCAGCTGCTGCTCCTCAGGGACATGGAGGCGCGGGTAGGGCCAGGCCACGCGGGCGCCACGCTGGGGATCACAGGCGGGCAGCCGGGCAGCGTGCGCCGCAGCTGCGCCTTGTGCCGGTGCCCCCGATCGCAGCCACCATGCAGCGAGAGCCCCGCAGGCCCCTCTGCACGGGGCAGGGCCGCCCCGGCTCCCCCTGCCTCTCTCTGCGGCCCCGCTGCACGGGGCTGCGCGATGGTGCCTGCAAGGCACCAAGCCGTAGCCGCCTCCCTTCCTTCCCGCCCAGGCCTTCGGCGCCTTCTGCGCCGCCGCCATCCGCCCGAGCACGGGCTTTTACGGCACCGGCGAGACCTTCCTCTTCTCCTTCTGCCCGGAGCTCAAGGTGGGGGCAGCTCCGCTCTGCTGCACCAGGGGAGGGACCCCGGGGGGCTGGTGACACTGGTGTACCTGGGTCCTGGCACCGGCAGGGATGGCGGAGCGCTCCGTTCTGGGCACTGCGGCTCTGCCCGAGGGCAGCCCGGCTGCCCAAGGAGGCTCAAGGCCAGGGGCGCTTGAGAGCTCCTGCGGTCACGGGTGACACTTCTCCCTGGCCGGGACGGGCACTGCCGCCTTCCTGGCACCAACCCGGGGCGCCTGCAGTGGCCGTGCGGGCACACGGGGCGGCCCCTGGGCTCACCCGCCTGCTGCAGGTGTTCCCGTGGACAGGCAGCAACAGCTTCTTCCTGAAGGGAGACAAGGAGCTGCTGATGATCGGCGGCGGCAGGTAGGAGCCGCCTCTGCCGGGGCTGCCGGCCCCGCTCCCGCGGGCTGCAGGAGCCGGGGCGGCCGCAGCGGGAGCGTCGCCGCTTCCCTCCCAGCGCCCCGGCCCCTCGGCTGCCCCTGCCGGCGCCTGGGGAGGTGGTCGTGCCGCAGCCCCCCGGCTCCGCGCTGCCCTTCAGCTCCCTGTCCAGCCGCCCGGGCGCCTGCGGAGCTGTGGGACGGGGCGGAGCCCTCACCTTCCTGTGCGGGTTGTCTCTTCCCAGCGGTAAATCTGGGCTCTGGCTGGATGGAGATCTGTACCACGGCGGGAGCCACCGCTGCGAGACCTTCGGCAACGAGCCCCTCTCCCGGCGGGAGGAATTCTGCATCCAGGCCCTGGAAGTCTGGGGCCTGGCCTGAGCCCGGCTGCCGCGCGGCTTCATCCCAGACACGGACCCGGGCACTAGGGCTGAGCGGCTCCGCTCTGCCCGGCAGGGAAGGCCGAGAGCCTCCTCAGTGCCCGGGACGGGGCTCATGCTGCGGGATGGGAGGAGGCAGCCCCAGCTGCCACAGTGCCCTGGGGCTCCTGGTGACAGCGAAGGAAGGAGCAGCAGGGAAGATCAGCAGCGCCAGCCTTGGGCAGGAAACCGCCCGGTGCGCCGGCCGCGACAGGCTCCTGCCCGCGGTGCTGCCCCGAAGCGCCCACGTGCCTGAGGGTGCTAAGGGGACAGGCACTCAATAAACGGGAGCTGGGCGGGTTGCTGTGCCAGGCTCGTCTGTGCCGTGCGAGCGCCTCGGAGCTGCGCCAAGGAAGCCCCCGCAGCGGGCAGGGAGCCCCCGTCCTGCTCCGGGGCAGGACGGCGCCGAACGCTGCTCCGGCACCCGAGGAAGCACAACAAGGGCTCACATCTCAGCAGAGTTTCTGGTGCCCCAAACCCCGCTGTACCAGGGCCAAGGAGGAGCACCCAGCTCTACCTCCCTGTGCAGGGTCCCCCCATGGGTCCCCACGTTCACAGAGCGGGTGCAGCCTCTCCCGGCCTCAGAGCCCTCTCTGCGCTGAGTCCTGCTGGCCGCCCTGCCTGGCGGGGTCTGTTTCACAGCCAGGGTAGAAGTGGCGGCGGCTGCAGGCCCCGCGGGGACGCTCGGCGCGGCAGGGCCCTGCCCTGCCCTCCCCGCAGCTCTGCCGCTCTCCCTTTGCCCACTGCTGCAGACCCACGAGTGGCTCCTGTCGCGCTGCGCTCCGCCCGCACCCACGGGACACCCTAAGGGCAGGGTTCACTCCATGGAGCTTCGACTCCCGCCCCTCCTCGCGGCCGAGCCCGGGCCTCGCTCGGCCCCCCGGGGGTGCCCAGGCCCTGCCAGGCCCCCCGCAGAGCAGCAGGGCCCTCGGCGCCCACCGCGGCGCGCGGCACCACGGACCCATCCCGCGCGGAGCCGGAGCCGCCGCAGCAGGAGGGCTTCCTAACGCCAGCACCGCTGGAAATCCGCGACGGCGCCGCTCAGGGCACAGGGCGGCTGCCTGGGGAGCAGCGAGCGAAGGCCGTGCCGCTGAAACACAGTAGTTCAGCTGATGATTCTTGAAACCTGGGGGGAAATTGCTCTAAACTACACTGTACGTAACTCTGAACACACCAGACCAAAAGTGCTTCCAGAACCAGCTTCATTGGGCTTGTCCTAAGAGCAGGCTCAAAGGGGGTACCACAAACATCACTGCTGTTCAGCAGCTCTGAGTGCCAACGTTGGGATCACCCCGACCAGGGCACAATCCTCCTTGAAGGTCCTCAGAAATCCCCATCTCAGAGCATCCCTGAGCGCTGGGAGGAAGCGCAGGCAGCTTCACAGCAGAGCACCAAAGGCCCCAAGGCAGGACACTGTCACAAACATCTGATCAAAGGACCACAGAATGGCTGAGGTTAGGTGGGACCTCTGGAAATCAGAGTAAGTGAAAACGCTACAACTCTGGAGCTGCTGGCGGTCCTTGCGCTGCGGCTCCGCGTGCTGCCGGGAGGTCATCTCCTGGCCCGTGTGCTCTGCACGCTCAGAAGCAAAAGCCTGGAGGAAAAGCGAGTGCAGAACAGAGCGAGCAAGAGAGGATGGGGGCTGTCGGAGAGGGTAACGGGCATCCTGAAACACACCCGGGGCACCAAGGAAGCTCCTGCGCGTGGGAGGCCCCCGGCTCCCACAGTGCTACCCCAGAGCCCTGCCCGCCCCCCACCTCCCCCGGCGCCGAGCCCGCTCCGCTTCCGCACTCGCTTCACTCCCTTCTCGCTTCCTTCTGGTGCGCGCGGAGCCGGCATGAAGGCGGCAGGATGGGGACCTCTGCTCCGCTCAGACGGCGTGAAGAGCCCCCAGGGCGAGGCAGCGCCGCAGAGGGGGCTCCTTTTGAACAGAGCAAAGAGTCCGAGCTGCTCTCCACCCAACCGGTGCCATGTGGCAAGTGGGACACGCAGCCCTGTGAGCCCACAGAGCGCCAACAGGGCCGGCGCCTGGGCTGGCCTGAACCTCCGCACAGCTGTGCAGCAAGGCAGCCCTCCCTAAGAAAGTTCACACAGTGCACATCATTAAAAGAATATTAAAGTCATTGCTTATACTTTTATTTTTAGTCGAGGCAGGCTCAGATTAGCATGTCTGAGAATAAGAAATGCTGTGTCTCAGAAGCAAAAGTCTGATACATTGATGGACAGGTTGCTAAAACACACGGTTAACATGAGCAAAAAGCTTTTCCCAAACATAAATCGCACCTTTTAGAACAGCTTCGAAACAACGCGAGGAAGCAACCACGGGGAAATTGCATTATTGTGAACAAGTAAGTACTTGATTTGATGTAGCTAGGGCAGATAAACGTCTTCACTCGCTGGTGGCGCTTGCTGCAGGGTTCCTGTAAGCCTGACGAGGTCAGACACGGCGCAGCAGAGCTGCCCAGTGCGCGGGTGGGTGCAAAGCGCCGCGGACGCCGCGGGCAGCAGGGGCTGCACAGCCCCTTGGGCAGAGGCACGAGCCCAGGAGAGGGCGGCAGAACCCAAAACCGCGGGGTTTTGAACCCAAGCAAAGCTGAACACGTAGCTCAACACTCACTCCCTACCTCTGCCTGGCATGAGCTGCCACAATGAAAAGGCCACAGAAATGTAAAAAGATACGGAAAAAAAAAATCAAATGCTGATTTTCTTTTTTTTTAAATCAGTCTAAAAACGTAGTCTAAAAGTCGGTCCAGCTGCTCAGCACTGCAGAACACTTTGCTTGGCATTTTTAGTTTGGATGGAGGGCTTTTTTAAGCAGCCTTTAAAAAGAACCTTTGAAACCTGAGCGAGAGGAAGGGGCCTTCCTCATTTAGCAACATTCACATGAACAGCACTGCAGGGGAAACCAGGGACCCCTGGAATTCTACAAGGGAGAAGGGGAAAAAAAGGAACACGCCGGAACAGCAACACCCGCAGCAGCACCCGCAGCGGCGCGAGGGAGCGGGAGGCTGCAGGGGCTGCCGAGGGGCAGAGCCGGGGCCGGGGCGTGCGGCCATGAGCCGCGTCCCGGCGGTGGTGCCGCCGCTCCCCGCGCCCCGGCTCGCGCTGCCGGCCTCTGCGTCCGGCACGCGCCCGCAGAACGGGGCGGGCGGCTTCTGTAGTTCAGCCCGGCAGTAAAACTATAACATTCAATGTATCAAAAATACACTATAAAACCAACAAGATGCTGTCTGCTGCTGAAATGCATTGTTACTTCAATAAAAAAAACTGTGGGCACTATTATAGCAAGAGGGTGGCATCTTCATCACTTTTTTAATTCCAGAAAAGTCGTCTTTGGTTATTAAAAAAGTCTTCCCCTCGCCCTCAACTTCTTATCGATACGGGCAGCTGGGTCATTGCTGTGGAAGGTGCCACGTGTGGCATCTCCAGGCGCTCACCCCTCTCGGGCAGCCGGAACGACGCCGGCTCCTCTGCGGGCACCGCGGAGCACCGAGCGCCTCCCGGGCACCCATCTGAAGAAGGGATCGCTGTCAGAAGCAGTAACTGCCTCTTAGCACTCCTTTTAATTCTGGTGGCTTTCAATCTTTTTAAGTTTCTCTTGCTACAAAGTGTCAGTACATTCCAAATAAAAGATAACTGAGGTTTTTTGTGTGGCAACAGACTATTTGTTGCTTTCTGAGAAGTCCATACGCACTTAGTTTAAGTGTCAACATTAAAACAAACTGTACGTCTGCTGTATTGTAAAATGCATTTCTGCATTGCCATGTACATCTTTAACAGCCCATCACAGTAGCTCTTAAGTTGCTACTCAGGACCATCCATCTGCTGAAGGAGATTGAATAGTGCAAAAGGAAGAGCATTACTCGTCAAAAGGAAGCCTTTGCTTGCAGCTGGGTTCTGCAGCAGTTCTGCATTCAGCCTCTTGAATATTATTCCAGCTTTTCTTCATTGGAGTTAGATGAGGGGCAACCACATCACAGTCCTATTGTTAAAAGCCAGAAAATATTAACAATAGTGCATTCTCTCCTGCTTTCTAACCTAAGACACCCCGTGTCAGACTTAACAGGTAAAACAGCTCCAGGGCCCTAGAGGCAGAGCACACCCGTGCTCTGTGGTGACTGTGCTTCCCAGGAACGGGAAGTGCTGCAGTCACTGCTGATATCTGGCAGGAAAAACCTTCTACTCCCCTCCTGAGGAGCCTTCCTCACCCACACTTCTTCCCAAACTATTACCAGTAAATTCAGCAAATCGGCAGGTTTGCCCCTCGCGCCCGGGAGCCCGAACTGGTCCCGGAGCAGGGGCTGGCGCAGCCGGGGGAGCTGCCGCTCGTTCCCCGCTGCACGTTCACTGTGCCGGGCACTGGGATGGGCAGGGGGGCTGCCCTGCCAGGCTGCCCGCGCCCCTCGGCCCAGCGAGCGCTTGGGTGGACACCGAGCTGCTCGTAAACCACGACTTCTCAAATCATTTACCTTAAATCAATACAATCAAATCAGTTCCAGCGAAATCAGAGCGTGCCTAAGTGTGAGCCACAATAAAAATCACATATATTGGTAACCATATACAACATAATAACCATATTTTATTGGGAAGCAACTCTGCCAAAGACAAAGCCAAATCCCAAGACATTCAATGAAATAGCAAGTCTGTGGAGCAAGATGAAATGTTACCAAGTGTGAATGTTACCTGTGGTTTGGTGAAATCCCTCCTGATACACCACTGAATAAAATACTGTTTTGCAGCTGAAACAGTATCTGGATCCTGATTTTTGCAATAAACCCGAATAACCTGCTCTGCAAAAGTCTCAGGTAAAAGCTTCGAGACCTTTGCAATAAAACAAAAGAAAAAGAAAGAAGCTTTACTCTTAGAACCTGGAGTCCACTGACATTCAAGTTCTTCGTCCAAACACAAATTGACAGCACTATGAAATACCCTGCTAATAAGCTAATAAGCCATGAGTTTTTTACCCAAACTAATTCTGGTTTTGAAGACTCCCAAGTCTGTACAAGTGAAACACTGCTCATGTTTAACACCCCCATCGATCTCCAGGCAGCTCCAGCGCTACCACAACCCAGGGTGACCACCAGCATCCCCAGCTGTGAAGAAAAGGGGCCCGTCAGAAGCCACCTGAGGAAAGTAAGGACTACCTGCTCTTTAGTGATCCGCACTGCCTTGGTAGGATCAGCTTTGCAGTAGAAGAGAACTTTATCAATGGGGTTCTGTTCTTCCATTCCATAGTCCATATTGATAACCTTGCACCCAGAACAAATAAAATGGTATTTGTTAGTGTTCATCCTTCATTTTGGTTCAATAAATATACAAAGATATGCATTCTATGGCTGTAGATGACAGTAACCAAATAAAAATGTAACCAGCAAATAACTCTTTAGTAGAAAGAAATGTGATCTTGCTTTTGAACTCTTTTCTTCCTTCCTATGTCCCCCTGAAAGCGCCACGGGGCCGCGCACGTTTGGATCAGCGAGCACCCGCTGCGCTCTGCAACATTCCCATTTCCAGCCGCAGGAACGAGCTGCTCCCTCAGCACCTTAAGCCCTTCCGAATCCCGCTGTGTGCCGAGGCAGCAGCAGAGCTCGTATTTTTAAATATGAGGTGTAAGACAACAAAACTGATACCGAGTTTTTCCACCATGAGCAGGGAGAAGAGCCCACTAGCCCATGAGTGGGGATCACGGAGACGAGCAGAGCTGCCTCGTGAGCTGCTCCAGCCTCACCCAAACAGGAGGTCCACAGTGACGGGTATTGGCTACGAAGTCACTCACCAGCTCTGCCCAGAACTGATGCAGAAAAGGGGCTACGTGACCAGAGACCTGCCCAGTGCTCCTCACAGCCTCGTTGCCACCGCCGCAGCGAGACACCGAGCTGCAGCCCAAAATGCTTTCCGTGCAAGACAAAAACCTGGGAGGAGGCTTGGGCATCGCGTGGGGAGTACCAGAAGCTGGGAAGTGACTGCCCAATAGCTTACAAGTTAGACCCACAGTGCATCGACAGGGCACGTGCCCCAGGTTGTGTCCTTGAACACCGCCACACTCAGAACACCAAGGTTTTCCCTTCCCTTTTGAGAGTGGGGACAGTCCTCGGAGGACACCTCCCGCGCAGTCACCAGGAGCTGGGCTGCCCAAGGGCAGCGCCTTAGGACACTGCCTTAGGACACTGCCTAAGGCCTTCGACACGTGCGGGGGACGCGCAGACCGCACAAAGCCAGGCCCTGGGCTTGGGCTGTGCCTTGGGCCTGGGCCTGGGCCACGGCGGCCGCACGGCCCGTGGAAATGGGAGCCTCAAAGCCTCGAGCTCCGGCCCTGGGACCCGCTGCTCTCAGCGCTCGTGTCACGAGGCAACACTAAAACCCAACGCGGGAAAAGCAGACGCACAAAAAACACAGTGAGGAACTGAAAAGTCCCACGTTTTCCCTGGGGGAAACAAAGCCTTCTGTGAGTGCAGAAATTTTACTCTACGCTCGCCATGGAAGATGCTCACATCAACTATGAAGTCTTCAGCCTTCGGCTCCACCAACGGAGGATTCTTCTCAGGCCTGGAACTGGCAATTTCCTCTGTCAGCCCGTGGAATTCGTCCTGAAAAGACACAACAACTCGGCTGCACTTGGTGCACACCGGCCCTCACCGAGGGCTTCGTTTCTTCGAAATGCACCAAGGAGCCGCTTCAACTCCCCACGTCTGGGAAACTGTCCTAAATTCCTCCTCAGGAGGCGGGAAGCTTTGCAGTCAGTGTGCAAGCTTCTCACGCCAGCCGTGCCGGCACTGTCGGCAAGATTTATCCCTCCTTCCTCAACACTTTTTCTCCCTCTCCCCCAAAAACTCGCTGTGTCGTCTCTTACCACTCCTTCAGCCAAGAGGAAGAACCCAAGCCAACCCTCTCTCCAAACAAATAACAGGAGCAGAAAACTAAAAGTATTTAATAGTCCTTTTCTAGCCTTGCTCTAGGAAAAAAAAAAAAACCAAAAGGCTGAATTATTTTTTCACTTCTATGGAAATTCAGCATGAGCGCTGATATTCTGAGGCTGGTAAATGAATATCAAAGGCACTTCTGCAGCACATTACAAGAAAAGCTGAACCATCAAAAGTAACATCATGTCCTTCAGTTCTAGTGGTAGATCTTGAAGTAACACATCAGATACAGCAGCAGTTCCAGCAAATTTTGATGAATACTTTGACAGGAAAACACTGGGAAAAGATGTGTAAGCTTATGTCAAAGATAGCTCCTAACACCAACAAACCAGGAAATCAATATTCAGTTTGGAGTTTGTTCTCAGTCACAAAACTGCACAAATTATCATTCAAAGCAAAAATATCATCACATTTTCCTTGTTCTGCCAAAAAAGCAATAAATGAGACAAAAGTAACAGTCCTCCCAAACCCTGCACTGTAACAGCATTGTAGGCAACTTTGTACTTTTTTCCCCTCCCTCCAAGAGAACAAGATTTTTCTGAAAATCCCTCTGCCACAAGCTATTTGTTAATCTCCATCTCCCACTGTTCTTCTGCCTGCTTGTATAAAAGATCCTTCCCATTCTTCTTAAACACACGCCATGGTTTGGCTACGTAAAGACTGCAAGAGAGCTTTTAACACTGGTTTTGGAATGGCAATTAAGCAAAAGAAAGAAAACAAACCAAAAATAACCCGCAAGCCCCTCCAAGCTACTTGGAGACTGTTTTTAGAGAAAAGGGATTGTGGAGCTTCCAGCAGGTGACATTACCTTTGCAATCTCCTTCCCCTTTTCGGGATGAGTGTCTCCTAAGAACTTGTAGAGCTCCCGGCGCTCGATTTTTCGCAGAATTTCCCGTGCCTCGGCCAGCTCCGGACAGCTGGAGTGCAGGATCTCCAGGTAGACGTGATCTGCCAAAGGGGCGTTGGTTTTTGTTAAATGGGGTGAACTCCAGCATCACGGTGAGCCAAACAGGAATGCACAGACACAGCCAAGGGTTAAATAAACCAGAAAAGCACGAGGCTCAGCAAGATGACCCACACTCACAGAACGACCCAACACGCTAGTCTGACGACTAAAATGTCGCTTAGACTATGCTCTTGGCTGCTTTATAAGAGTTTGGGCTGAAAAGCTCAGTTCCCACCCTTACAAGTTACATTATTTCTCTGGAGTTTGCTTTCTGTTCCCATCTGTTCTGTTCTGTTCAGACTGGCTGAACAGCCAGAACATCCCCAGCACTGACAGACCCAGGGACAAGGGCGGCGTTTTGCAGACAAGCAAACTCTCCTGCTGCACTTTGGGAACAGCCCCGGCTCGGGATGCTGGAACCGGAGCCCCCGCTGAGGCCGCAGCAGGCAGCGCGGTTCCACTACCAGCAGCGGTAGCAGGAGGAGGCAGCTGGCGGTTGCTGTGGCCTCGAGAGCAGAGAGGTGTTTTGGGCTCTCCCACGACACCCCCGCCGGCAGGCGCCCGTGCCCGGGTGCCCGGGAGCGCGGGCGGACGCTGCGGCGCGTGGCGGCTCTGCTGCCGCCTCGGGAGGCGCCACCGGGCACTGCACAGCGCTGCCCATCCCGACGGCTGCTCCTGCTCCTGTCCCGGAGAGCAAAAGGAGTCCCCAGCATCCTACCAGTTAGCTTGGTGTAGGCTTCCATATCCTCCATGGCTGTGGAAATCCGGTAGGGTGTTCCTTTAGAGCCTTCTATCTTAAAATACGGGTCTGCTTTTTGAAGGGCCTCTGTAATCCTGTATTGACACAAAGGTAAGACTTGAGGAAAGCTTCGCTTTGAAGCAACTTACTGCTCAAGAGGCAGAAACGACTCGCTACGTCACCGAGACACGACAACAACTGCAGCTGCAGGTGAAGCACCCGGCAGAACCCAGGCACACTGCGGGGTCCCCCATCTCCACAGCGTCACTGCCCACTTCAATGCTCGCTCGGTAATCTTGTTCTACCAAACAGTCTGCTGGAGCTGACAAACTTTATCTGCAATTTACACTTCCCTTGTCAGCAACTACAACAGCATAAGCAGATCCTAGTGAAGGGTTTCTTCAGGAACTTCTCTCTGCTTGGTTTTCATGGGGAATGATGTTAGCAGCCCCTTCTTTCATTCACAGCCTCCACCATGCTCCAGTGCTGAATGCTGCCCCAACAAGGCTCCAGTTGAAGAGCCCAGTGGCTTTTATGGCATATTACAGCCTATGGATTACGTGGTTATTTGAGCTGCTTACATAGGATCAATGGTTTGAAATAAAGGGCATGCAATAAGGAGAGAGCAGAATACTTGCATTATCTCAATGATGTTGCCAACTTTGTGCTGGTACGCGCGCCGGTGGAGGCAATTCCGTGTGTGGAACATATCGTACAGGTTTCCGACTTCCTGGGGGAAAAAAAATAACCTTTTGCAGTCCAATTGCCAAGGAAGCAAGTGCCCTGACTCCGTCCATTTGCAGCGTGCCCCAGGATAGGAATTGTCCAAAGTTCCCCAGAGCGGGAGCCGCTCGGCCCCGCGCGGTGCGGGGCGCCCGCGGCGCCGCTCACCTTGTCCCGCGTGCAGATCAGCTTCTGGCTGTTCACCTCACACACCCGTGTGAATTTAAGCAACCGCTTATAATCAAAGTTATTCTGGATTCCCAGGTGATGGCAGTCCCTACAAATATTCCACAGAGAGTATTTAACAACGAGATCATATTTATGAGAAATGTAGTAGCAGTGCGTCAGGAGGAATTTAATAAAAAACTCAATCCATAAATCCATACCTTGCAAAATAATCCCATTTGTCAACATCAATGCCATTTTTTTTGTTCGCTACTATCTCATAAAGGAAACTTTTCTCCTTCGGTCGACCAACATAAGGCCACTAATGAAAAGAAAGTCAAGAAAAATCAGAAACAATAATGAATTAAAATAATGAATAACAATAATGAATTAAAACCTGCAACATCAAAACATTTCTTTGAAAAGATAGCAGGACTACAATTTGATTTTGCCACTGATAAGACAACCAACCCAGAGTTACCAAAGAACACAAAAGAAGGGCCCTTTTGAAGCCATATGGGTGCTAGAAATTCAGAACTCAAGTTTAATAAGTCAACTTTCTAGAATTTAATAAAGAATAAAAGAATATGTATACAAGTATTGCACTTGCCATCCTGCTAAACTGAAGGGGATTTAAAGGGATTAGGTTTTTTATATCTTTTTTTAAACTCTGAGGGAATTATTTAATCTCTAAACATGTCACTGTTTTGCAGTTTTCTGCAACCACTTCTACAGCTTTCTAGAAAATATACATAAAAGTATTTTAAAGCTATCTGAAACAGAAACCACACAAACAACGGCCTGCTTAAACTTCTACTCCTCAAGCAAAGACCAACCCAGGCAGGAGTCAAGCAGAAAACGAGTGTCCAAGCTGCTGTGAAACACAAGCTGCACAACAGCCCCTGACCCGTGGCCAACGCAGACGCGCTTCCACGACACAAACCCCACCATGGAGCCGCTCGGAGGCTGCCCCAGGTTCCTGCCCCGAGGAGCAGCCCGCACCAAACACAGCCCCGCTCCTGCCCGGCGTTCCCAACAGCCACAAACTCCCCAGCACTCCAGCCAGGAAGGAGCCCTTCGCGCCGGGAGAGGTCCATCAAAGCCCATCAAAGCCCAGCTCGGCTGAGGGCGATGGCCGGATCTGGCCCCAGCTCCGGGAGGACGGCGCGAGGGTCTCCCCGCACCACCTGGACCGTTCCTTTCACCCCGGGATAACGGGAAACCGGCTGGCCCGAGGCCCAGGGCAGCGGCGAGCTTGTGAGGCCAAGGACCACCGGAGGCTGCACGGGACGCGCAGGGTCTGGTTTGTCATCTCCAGAGCAGCCCCGGGGACACAGCAAAGACTCAACAGCCCCTTGGGCCACCAGACCCAGTCCCCTGGGCACCCGAGTCCGGTGTTTGTGAGCAGCAAGGGCGGGTGAAGGGGACTTGGGAGCAATGAGCGTAAGACAGTAACACCAACGGAGAGCCTTTGTAAACAAACACCCTCTTCCACAGGACCTCTCGCTGAGCTAGCACTGTGCCAGCTCCCCTGTGCTCTGTCAGAGACTCACAGAGCACACGGGAGCACTGACATTCCCACAGCAGGAGGCAACGACTAACGCTCCAGGGCTAACGTTTGCGGGCAATCCGTTTGGAACGGCAGCAAGCTCGGAGCAGGACCAGATTATCAGGACAGAGTCTCCCAGTGAGGAGTTCTGTAAGTCGGTAGGAATGGAATGGGGGTTCTTGAAGAGATGACAACAGCTATAAAGCGAGAAGAGAGAGGACCTAATTGTTTCACAGAGAATTAATTGGATCTCCTCTTCACTGCCTCAGCCACCACGTTTCTTCAGCTCTGACCCCCGCTCCGTTTTTCCTGCTGCAATAAACCCGGAGGTTTTGTGGTCATCCCCAAAGCCAGCATGGCCCTGCTCGTGCTCCTGCTCGTGCGTTGCTCCGTGCCTCATCCCTGCCGGCTCTCGGGCTCTCCCTTCAGCCGCAGCTCGTTACTCTACACTCTGCCCATGCTGCCCTCCCCAGACCTACCACACCACCACCTTCCAGCAAACAGGTTTGAGCTACCCTAACCTGGTCATTTGAGACACCTATTAAAAATGCAGTTTCACCAATCTAGTTAGAGTCATGTAAGTTTACTACAAATAGCATTTTTTTAAAGACTAATCTCAAGATTAGGCAAGAGCCTCACAGGACGATGCGAGTGCGTAACTCAGGGAAGCCACCGCCTCAGGCCACCACCACTCGAAGGAAAAGCACTCCACTTGGAGGGTATCCCACCAACAATAAATAAATAAAACCTCCTTTCAGTAAAATTTAAGGCATTTATAGAACTATCTGAAAAAGCAGGACACCGACTCACCGATTTCTCACGAGTGTTTTCATCTATAGGCCCTCCTATTTGTTCCTTGATAAAGTTCATATCTTCTTGCAGGACAAGACCGTAATCTTCCATGACTTTTTCTAGTTTGTTGGAAGTGATGAGGTGTTCAAACATCTCCACAGAGGCACTTTCATGCTGCGCAAAAACAGGCCAATGCTGGTTTACAAAGTTTCTCCTTCTTCAGCTCTTTGCTGAAGCGTCAAAACGTTGTCCCCCAAAGCAGGGAGCAGCGCTGCCCGTCAGAGCACCCGCGCAGCCCTGGCCCCACTGTCTGCTCTCCTGGCAGCCACCCCAGCAGCACTAACACCCTGCCCACAGTCTCCAAAACCAGAAATTTTCACCACAGAGCCGTTAAACATATTTTTAATAAGCAAGAGTTAAAAATGTAACAGACAAAATAACCAACTTTGCCACGCAGGAGATTAACAAGTTAACTCAGCTGATTTTGTTTAGAATCAACTCGCTCACGGAGGGCTGGAAGGGATTCTGTTCAAAGCAAATAACCCCCAAAAGCCAAACACTTGTGTTCTAATCACTGTATTGGGTATCTGGACTTTAAATTTAAATCTCAAAATCGAAAAACAAAGAAGTTACAGAATGATATTCTAAATCCGTAAAAGACATTCTGAAGAAAGCTACCAATACATTCAACTATAGAAGTGGTTTAAAAAGATCAATGCATTCTGAATTTTGCCCAGTGAATTCCACGATTTCTAAACTGTACCGGGGCACTGTTCAGTTGAGGCTTTTTGTTTCTTTCTTTGCCCTTCGACGAGCTGCTTGCAGAAACAGCACAGGTTCACACACAGGGAAGGTCTCACCACGCCATGCAGGGAGGTCAGGAGCATTTCCACTTTCAGGAAGCAGATGCTGGCGACAAATGCGTGTCCTGCTTAAGCAAGTCCTGCTTCTGCTTCCCTAGAAAGGCTTCATCTGCCAACACTAAGGGGTGCATTGGAATTCCCCAAAATGAACGGGAATGCTCATAATTCCCATTGCCAATAATTTCCAAATTATTAACAGGGAAATCTCCACAGGATTAGGAAACACCTTTGTTTAATAACATCAAAATGACGCAGTAAGAAAAGGCTAGAAGATCATTATGTGCTCACATGCACTGACCAGTCTTTTAAGATGAATTATTTTCCCTTAAAAAAAAAAAAAAATTATATTTTTTCTTTAAAAACGAAATGCCTACCTTCCACTTCAAATTTGGACGAACAAGCGGAATAAATCTCCCATCAAACATGTGTGAAAATGGCCCGTGACCTGAAAAATAAAGATTCCGTGGGTTTAACCCAAGACGCGCTCATGAGCAGCGCTGCCCGGGGGCGGGTAAGCGCCTGGCCCGTGCTGCCTGCCGCAAGGCGCAGCTCCCGCTGCGGCCAGCGTGCCCCGAACGCAGCACCCTGCCCGCGCCTGCCTTCACGCCGAGCACCGACCTCTGTCCCCTGCGTGTGCCACCAGCAAACGCCCCGCGAGCACGAGCTACACGAGCTACGTTGGCTAGTGCAGGGCAGCTCTGAAAGAGGTGGCCGTTTCACTAAGCACCCATGGCAAGCGTGGAGCGGCCGCGAGCTCGCCACCCAACACCTCACCGGCGCTTGAGGAGGCCTGAAGAAGCCGTAGAAAGACGATGACGTTTAAGCCACAGAGGGAAGAATTCAAAGCACCACAAAGGATGGACATGAAAGAGCTGCTACCTTGTCTGCAATTTACCAAGTGCCCTTGGCTATGCAGAGAGTAGCTCCAGACTATGCAGAAACAGGCAAATCCTGTTGCAGAACACGGCCATGCACTGAGCAGCCAGAAACACATCTTATGTCCTGATCTCACGGCCATCTTTTCCAAGGAAAGCAAAAGAAACACGCAATGCTCACCCAAATCATGGCAAAGCCCAGCAATTTCAACACAGAGGATGTCTCGTTGGGTTATATCCAGTTCTGGTTGTCTTTCCTTCAGCGCACGAACCAGACACCCTGCTAGGTAGCCTACCCTGTTGCAGCAAAAAACAGAGTTCAGGCAACAGCATCGCAGGCTGAGTAGGGATGGGGCAATTCAGCAACTCGTTTTTACCCCTTGAGGTCACAGCCCTGGTTTAACAGGTAGCACACAACAAACTCACACCCTGACCTGCACGACTTCTATTCTAAAATTGACCGGGTGAATTTCCCCGCACAGGGGAACACATCTTTAAAAAACCCATAAGCTGGTGATTACTCAGCTCCTCTGCCGATCAGGAATGACCTAAGTGATGATGCCTTTTTAAAGACCTCTGGAAATCCCAGTGTCCACAATCTGTTTCTGTTTAACTTAGATGACAAATAGTCAGACTACGAACTGTAGTGTATTGCATAAAACATACATAAGAACTAACACAAACATTACAGCCAAAATCTGTTTCATGTCTGCAGATTAAACTGTCTGAGGAATCATTTATGGCAAACGGTATCTCAGTTTAGACCAGGAAGAGCACAGAGCATTCACAGCTTCTGATTGACATCATTCCTCCCACAGCGAGAAGAGGCGTTGGGAGAAGGAGGCCAGCAGTGACCCACCCCGCAGACCTGGTGGCCTTGCTCTATTGGGAGAGGTCTAAGCACAGCCAACATGCACAGAGACGGGAACGTTCACAGACAGAACACACCACGCCGCTGTCTTCACACAGAACCTCCCACCTCAGGAAAAGGGAAATGCAAGAGCCAGGCACAGGAGAGGACCCCTCTTACCCCAAGGAGTGTTCGAAGCGGTTGTGAGAGGCTCCTGGAAAAACAAAGTAGGTGCCACCCAGCTGCTTAATGTACCGGAGGCGCTGGAACTGAGGGGTGTCAATGATGCGCACCAGAAGAGGATGTATTTCTATGTGCCCGTGAATGGGATCATTGAAGACCTGCGGGAGTGGCAAACAGCAACGAAACTGGCATTGGAAAGGGGACTTTTAAGAGAAGCAGGCGCCAAGATAAAGCACGTCTATAAGGGTCAGTCTGGGGGGAAAGGGGCTTCCTTCTCTCCTCCTGCAGACCAGCTGTATCCTGTCTACCCTGGGAAAGGCTTTGTCTCTGAGACCAGCTGATGTGCGACCTCTGAAAAGATACAGCTGCAGGTTTCAGAGGAGAAGGAAGCCAAGGCTAGAGCTCCAGAGCAGATACATCTGTAGCTTTTTAATTCTGATACTTCAATGGCAACATCTATCTTTCCATTAAAGCAGTTTACCACAGCACGTTTCTGAGGGATTCAATAATTGCTGACTTTCTCAGTGCTTGCATTTTTTAAGAAAATCAAGCCAAAATTTGGAGAGTAGAAATTATGATTCCAGCCTAGATAACCACAGATAGGTAACCACAGCTGGAAAGTGAAGCACTGCTGGGCCACCTCCAAGTATGCATGTAAAAAAGGAAATCTTAGTAACTACAGGGACTCATTAGAGAAGATAAACATAAACACATTTAATCACTGCATCAAAACAAGATAAAACCATTTTGGGATAAATATAACTTGGCAAAATACTGAAGCAAATGAGATTCTTCGTGGCAGCCTCTCTACTCAAAGTCCTTTATCTGAGAGGGCACTAACAGAGGTGCAGAACGCTAAGGGACGCACTCAGCGCCCAGCCTCTCCCTCCACAAAATCAACATTTAACGTTGTGAGAAGCTGTTGAACACTGCACCTATGGAAGGGAAAAGTATTCGGCCAACCCAAACCTGGGGCTAAACTAATAAAGAACAAAAGGGGAAGATTCTACGGGGGAGCAGATGTGACGGGGAGCCCAGGCGCCGAGGAGCGAGGGCTGGGAGCGAAGCGCCGCGGGCAGCACGGGGCGGCCGAGCCGAGCGCGCCGCCCCGCGCTCTGTTACCTTCATGATGTCCACGTGCTGCTGCTCCAGCTGGCTCAGGCACGCGAGCACCGTCAGCCTCTCAGCTGCGTGGCTAGGGAAAAACATGCACATTTCTGTTCAATCAAATCCTTCCAGGAAGAGTCACATGTGGAGCAAGACCTTCAAACACATCAGAAAGGTTACAGAGGCCAAGTAACTGACGAGCTCAGGTTGAGCAACTCCTCAAACTGACGGGCAACAACCCCAAACAAGAAATATTTCTATACATTCATTCCAAAGTTAATCGATTCTGTGTTTTAAAAAAACCTTCATTTCACCTAAACAACGGGAGTTTTATATAACAGAACCTGAACTCCCAGAGTGGAAGGACTGGAGCGGGAAAGACGCCCGAACTTGGCTGAGAGCCGATTCTTGCAGCTCGTACAGACACCCTGTGATCACCTCAATGATGGGTGCGACGCGCTCCTAAGCTTCCAAGAGACCCTGAAGCCCCAGCAGTCCAAGAACCCGGCAGGACCAGGGAGGAAGGGGGGATAAGCCAGCCTACTGCACTCCCTTCTGTTCCTATCTCCAAGCTTTGTCCTGAAGCGAAATGGTTTCAGTCTCACAGTACAACAGCAAACACTGCACCATGAGCACACACAATTTGTTAACATATTATCTATTTTTCTTAAATAGATAATATGTTAACATATTATCTTTCTTTTCTTAATCTATCTTTCTTTTCTTAATCTATCTTTCTTTTCTTAATCTACAGTCCATAAAATTACACCCATATTACATCCTTCTCATATCCAAGCTGCTGCAGACCAGCTCTCATCTTTTCAAAGTCAGCACCCGCAGTGCGAGAGCCCCTGGGCTGCCCCATCTGCTGTCCACGGAGACCTCAGTCCCTGAGCCACCCTGCAAGGCACCGAGAGCGGCAGCACCAGAGGGGCGGCCCGGGCAGCAGCGCACGCAGCAAGGCTGGCTGCTGGGCACGCCAGGCGGCTCCACCGCAGCAGGGACGAGCTCACAGACACCTACCAGGTAGCTCCTGACCGGCTCCTGCACCCACCAAGCAACGAAGGCGGCTAAAAGCCAAGTGAGAGGAGGGTGCCCTGCACGAGCCCTCCGCCAGGCTTGGCGAGCAGGCTCGGGCACTGGGAGAAACCAGGGAATCCTTCTGCAGCCGGCAAAACTCAGGAGCCGGCTCTCAACACCTGTCTCCTGATGACCAGGAAGGGCAAAGGCTTCCTGAGGCTCATCTGCAGGACAGGAAGGACTCTCTTTATGGGAGCTTCCCCATGGGGGAGGTGCAGCCCCGGGGTGGAGCTTTGCCCCGGTAGCAGCACCCCGAGCACATACCTCAGTGCCACAGGAATTCCACCCAGGGGAGAAGGGGAACTGGAGGAAGGCCACAGGACTGAGCAGCAGGGTCTGCTCTTTGGAGAAGTGGCCAGCTCCAAGGTGAGAAACACCAGGGAAATGACAGCTCAGAAGGACAGGACCTAAGGAGCACAAGTCAGCAGCTGTGCCTGCTGACATAGGCCTGGCCTGGGCACAGGCCATAGTCCAAGTGCCAAGCAGGGAATAAGCACCGTTTGCACCCACACAGCACCTGAGCATCAGATGGGGCTCCACAAGCATGTGCAGCCCGCAGTCCAGGGAGAGCGCCCAGGATCCCGCACCGCTCCGCATGGGCAGCCCGCAGTCCAGGGACAG